CAGATAATTGCAGAGGTGCTGCTTGTCCCTATCTCTTTCAGTCAGCCTTGCTCCAATGCAGAGAGTGGTTCTTTCTTTCTCTGTCACTGGGCCAGGACACAAGTAATGAATTCAAAGAAAATACGCGAGCTGAAATGAGCAGCGGTGAGAGGCAGCGCACTGTGGAATGTAGTTTCACAAAGATATATTAAAAAAAAAAGATCAATAGTAAACTGCCTTTTTATTTGATGTTACTGAAAATATCTGCAAAGTTTATATTCATTAAAAAAACCAACCACCCTATTTAAATAACTATTAAATGGAGTTAGGAAGCTGAGAACTCAAAGAAAATGACTGTATTAAGGAGCTTTCCCTTCCTAGGAAATATGAAAGTATCAAATTCAAACTACTACACTATTGTCTATTAGGGAGAGCACTTAAACTATCTATGAACTGTTATTTGTCAGTCACTGGAAGGCACTTGGAAGACACTAGCACTTTTTCATGCAGAACTGTGATGTACCACACAGCCTATACTGACAAGCTCTCTAACGACAAGCTTTTCATGGTGTCAGAGAAAAAAATTCAGCAAACGTCCATTTCTTTGTTAGTTTTAAGACGAAAAGCAAGAGATGAAAGTAGTATCCCTAATACAACAAATGATGAAAGAGCAGTTCACTGGCAGAGAACAATTTAACAAAGCCCGTGAGCTCAGGAGGCTCCTCTGGAGCACAGAGGGCAGGGACAGCAAAGGGACCACATCCACCACCAGCTGAATAAAATCCATATATTCTGTCAGTGCCAAAAAACTAAGTCTCATCTCAGCTGCAGGGAGCAAAATCAGATCCAAATATAACTCCTCATGTCTAAAAAGGTCTGAAAAAATATTTTGAGCTATAAGGAACACTTGAAAACTATACAAGAAGCTGTGCAAAACACTTTTGGCGCTTGTAATTGAGGATACACTGAAAACTCAACCAGTAATACCAAGGACACAATGTGAGAATTACCAGATGGTAATAAGTCATGAGTCCTTGCTGTAGCCTCACCACAGCACCTGTGGCTGAGTATGGAGACCTAAAGTCATATTACTTCACTTCAGTCTTACTCTGGTTAAAATTTGTATTACGACAAATAGATACCAAGTCAAATGTTATCGTCTTCTATACCAGGAGCACGTCACAGAATCAGTTACACTGAAAAAGTGGGCTCTATGTGTATAGCTTGGGGTATACTAGTTTGCAGAACCAGACCTTCCAGTTGAAGATATGTATTTTCCTTTTTAATTATAGAGTTAACGATGTGAATGTTTACACTGGTACCACTCAAAAAAAGAACCGTACATGTGACTGCTATAATCAGGGGGTCTTGTGGTGGTTTGTTGTTTGTTTTTTTTTTTTTTTTTTTTATACTGAATCATTTGGGGCTTTCTGATGTGTTGCATTGTCTGAAAAATAACTGGTGCTTTGCTTCGCATTTACAGTATTGTATTTAACATATATTTTTAAAAAACTTCCATCCAGCTACCGAAATTAGTTTGTAAATAAATATTTCACTTTTGGGCAAAGGAAGAAAACTCTTTTGCATTGGAGCCGTACCGAGCTCTTAGCACCTCTCTGGAGCCACGTGTGTGATCCAACCCAGCTTTTTTTTTTTTTTTTTTTCTGGAAAGAGGAATACCTTAATTATCTGAATCATGGCAAATTGCAGCATTATATGTATATGAAATAAATATTTTTAAAACCAACAAAAGTTATAAACAATGTGAAAGTAATGACAAAAATTGTTGAGCTATTTGAAGAAAGTTGCTGGCAGGCTTGTAGGTGGTCCACATAAGACTCCCACACTTCCATCTTTCCAGATATGCTTTTGCGCTTGATTAATTGGGGAAACTAGGGAGAGGTGATATTTTGCAGTGACTGATGTTTCCTTATAATTAAATCAATCTGGTATATATCTCCCAGAAAGTATTAGGTCATGAAATGTTCATAAAACACCAACCTAAGTGTCATCTGGAAAATTACAAATTTAATATTTAGATGGATGTCTTTGGTAAAAATAAAAACAGTGGGCTCTTTAATTTGATAGAAATGTAGTATCATAAATTTAGTCTGAGCATCATATATTAAAATAATACTATGCAAATAGGCATGACAGTTAAATAAGGTTTTAGAATAAGACTGTTTAAATGAGTAAGTAATATTTTAAAATGTCAGTCAACACACCATGAAAAAAGAAAGCTCAATTTAATTAGGTTGGTCATTTGTGGCTTAGGTAGGAAAAGGATTAGCATGTAGAGTAAGTTAAGGCTGCCCAAAGCTTTGTGTGGATTTTACACAGGTATTCACTTTCATCTCAATGAAAGAATTAGTGTAACAAATGCTGGCTTACATGGTGCTTTACTGCTTATGGCACAAGAGAGCTCCTCAACAAACTTGCTGTGTTGCCTTGTAAAGGTCAGGCACAGTTTACAGAGAATTGAAAAAAAAATCTTAAAAAATAATGGCTTTTCTGACACATCTCTGGTATGGTGGTACAGAAAAGCTTTTTTATAGTTTGTTTTAAAGTGTCGACTTTATTTTGACTAATTCCTCTCTAAAGGGAAAATAATTGCAGTACCAGTAGAGAAGATGTCTATCAGCAGTCACTGGCATAATCCAGTGGGATTGGAAGGGCAAGATAGAGGGTTTGGGATAATAGACTAACTTACATTATTTTTTTTCAAATGTGCACAAGAGTCAAGTGACTGACAGTGATGTTTTCAGCCTGACGTAACTTGCCTACTGCAATGCATTGAAGAAAGCCGGGTAGATACAAAGCACGTGCTGTGAGGACCACACTTTTGCCTAGCATTAATGCAGAGAGATTTCTCCACAATGCTGAAAAATAAAAGGGGCTTAGTACATATTTCAAGCTTCCCCAGCTGGAATTATTTTCTGTCTCCCTGGAAGATGGACCAGAAAGCGAGAAGAGAGGCCACAAGGGCTAGGAGGATGCCAAATCTGCATGTCATCTTCACGACCACAGGACTGAGATGAACAGTATGTATTTATAAAACAAACCGACTGTTGCATAGCACATTCACGACAATAAGTGTGCCCATACTGAAAATATTGCACTTCAAAGTCCTGAGGACTGCCTGCCCAAACTGCTGGAACAGCACACTCACTGTTCTCAACTACTGTGCTCCACTCAAATTCCACAGGAAAAGAATAATAACAGAATTTCTTTCCTTTGGGGACAAAGTAACCAGAACCTTAAGTGCAATTTTCATAGCCATGCATTATTTAAAAACTAAAACAGACAAATCCTATTATTTGATACTCTTTGAAAGATATTTTACTTTTCTCTTTTGTACTTTTATATGCAAGTACCTTCTCAAATCTTCTGAAAGCTGGGATTTTTTGAACCAATCTGGAAATTAGAAAATTCTTCCACTACAAGTTTCTAGCTACTTTCTTTTCAAAACTATTCTAAAATATGCTAATACAATAAAGAAGCAGCTGCACTCTGCTCATTCAATGCAAATGATCAGATTGTGTATATTTATCATATTATTGGCCTTGTATTTGCCAAAAAATGTAGGCCTACATAAAATGCAGACAATCAGATACAGACAGTGTGTTTAGAAATATGCCATACTGGAACTTTTTATAATAGGGGGTTTTATCCTGGAGTTATGAGGATTTCTTGGGAGACAATAAAGAGACTTATTTATTTTTTTTTAAGTCTCCAAAATGAAGAACACTATTTAGCAGATACTGAAAAAACTGAAAAGTTTGAAAATTTATTTGTCTACTTAATACAAGGAACATAAAAATTCCAAACCAAAATGGCACAGGTGTGAAAGTCATCATTTCCAAAAGTGAGCGTGCCGAAGGAAGCCACTGTGTCTAGCAGAGGACGTGTTAAGTGCTGTCATTACAATATACACTTACATATGTGCTCAATACCACAGAAAGCCTCTCAAAATCTATAGCGTGGCAAGTTTCAGTCTTCTGCAAAACCTAAGCCTCTCACATAACAAACCTGGCTGACAAACACTGTGATATATGAGAGAGGAAAGACTCTCATTCCCCAGTAGCACAACCGGTGAAACTCAGCAGTGCTTAGACAAAAAGCCCTCCAAAACTTGACACAACTACACATTCAAATCAAACAGCAATCTCCCATTTTAGGATGCAAACCAAGCCTGACAGATCTCCTACCACCTGTCTGTCCAGCACAATAATTTTTCATTGACTTTACATGCAGGAGCCGGGCTGGTGAGACTAATATTCTCAAATGCACATCCCTCCTTGTCTCATTCCACATCAATGGCACTGAATTCAGGTGTTTCTGTGGCTTTAAAGACTGCTCCAAGCTTGCTTTGAGCTTCTATAATTCCAACCCTTTAGCGCACACGTAGTTAGTTATATACCTATGGTTGTATTATCCAGGTTGGTGCTGGTCTCTTCTCACAGCTAATTAGTGATAGAACAAGAGGGAATGGCTTCAAGCTGCAACAGGGTAGGTTTAGACTGGACATTAGGAAAATGTTCTTCACAGAAAGAGTGGTCAGACACTGGAATAGGCTGCCCAGGGAGGTGGTTGAGTCACCATCCCTGAATGTGTTTAAGAGTTGTTTAGATGTGGTGTTGGGGGATACGCTGTAGGTGAGAATTTCATACAGTAGGGTTGATGGCTGGACTTGATGATCCCAAGGGTATTTTCCAACCTGAATGATTCTATAATTCTATGATCCTGTGCATACTACCAGGTTAAAATACCAGTCCTTAAAATATAAAGTTAAAAATATCTTTAAAGAATTGGAAGTCTAGTCTGCTATGTTTTTCTTGTGTATACTGCAAATAATGGAGATAAGTGAATTAAGTTTGCACAAACCTTTGAATTACTTTTCTCTGTTACAAACAGCAAGTAGAAATACATATATACATAGCCACATGTATATAAATAGATAAAACTAGGTATATAATTTCCATCTACTCCAAAATCTTGAACAAACAAACAAACAAGCTTACCCGTGCCAATGTCAGTGTTCCTTGTTTACACTCAATGCAGCGGACCCTCAGTTTCCCAGGTTTCACAGCTTGGCAGAAATTTTTGCAAAAAACATAAAAACTGTTGTAGGTAGCTGCACCTGTCAGGAAGAAAAGATAAGAAAAGAAAACAAAAGCATTTGATGTATACTGAAAATCAGTAACAAACTGTAATGAAAGGTTTCTATTTGACTTTATAAGTAATAAGTAAAAAACCAAATTTACTAATATTAAGGCCTGACAATAGCATTGAGATCATCTTATCTTGCCGGCTCTAGTTCTTAGCACATTTTAGTAAGTCCTGCTTCTTGATCAACACTTGTAGGTGAACTACACCATAACCCCCAGAAAATACATCCTGTCTTGAGTTAGAGCTTACTACCGATAAGCACGAATTGTAATCTTTGGCAAGTGATGTATGAGATTAATTACCCCAGCTCTCCATAATTTGCATCCTGCTTCTAGTCTAAATTTGTTTAGCTGCAAGTTTTAGTGAGTTCACATTGCATGAAAATTTCCTTGGATGAAGTTTAAAAGATTAGTTTGACTGATATCACAGCAAGAAAACAAATATTTAATTTAGTAAATTTAGTTTTATTCCTGGAAGACCAAGAACCATTTCTTTATTCTTGCTGGCAGCAGTATACCCAGCAAAGTTTGTAAACTGCTGCCAAGATATTAGGCCAAGTAAATTTTCAAGGAAAATGAAATGAAACACATTCTGTTCTGTGCAACTATGGAACAGAGGAGGATATGCAGAGAATTGTGTAAGCCTGGGGCAATGCTAATGAATTTGATTTCACATGCAATCCTGATCACCATTTTGAGTAAACCACTTCTTAGGATGGCTATTGCTATTCCTCAGAAAATGATGGAAGATTCATAATATTGACTTAATCTATACTAACCATCTCCAAGTTCAGAGACTCAAGCTTGTTATCAGAAGTTGAACTGAGACCAGAAGAAAGTTTTTACCAGATTTTTCCCAATCTCAGGAGGAATGGTTGTGGAGATTTGACCCATTTACAGTGGTGAACTTTAGAATCGAAAGCAGTCTTTTAGATCTGAAGTTAGTCACTGTCTTCGTCCCCGATCTCCTACTTCTCCCTGCATTTATCAGCAATATACTTTCTATGTATATTTGAATCCTAAGGTTACCACAGTAAATATGAACAGAAACAATATTTTCAAACTGACTGACTTGCTCGATTTTTACATGTTCTTCATGTGCTAAGGGTAAGACCCTCTGTTCTGCCAGTGAAAATGCCTACCAATTTTATGTTACACCTATTCATAGGTGTCCCAGCATGCATGTGCAACTAGTTTCCAAAACTCAACTTCAGGGAATTACATTGTCCAAAAAACCTTTTTTCTAAGAAAAAAGATGTAGATGTCTTCAAAGATGTACACTGCTGAAAGACGACATTTTATAACACATGGTAAAAATAAGCACACCAAAGTTTTTCAAATTTTTAGAAAGATATGCTACGTAAGACAGTGATGTCTCCAATACTAATTTTAGTCAACTGATCTATCAAGTGCTTTCATTATGCTTCCCTGGGGAATATTAATCACCATAGAACATAAAGCATAACAGAATTTCAACGGATACATTTTTTGGGAAAAATTAACACACATCCATACATTCACACACATAACAAACCTTTCATATGAATAAGTGCAACTCAAAATCTTGAGAGCACACTTCTCAAATCACTCTCTACCATAGTTCTGAGATGAAATTAGTTCAATTAAAATAAAAAAGGCATATGCTGAGCTATTTAATAGATGGTACAAGGCGATTCCAAATTCAATATGAAAAAATTTTGGACATTTGGATCTCTATACTGGCATATTTTGCTTGAGGATCCTAACACTAGGACTGAGAGTATGTCTGAATGAAACTCCATTGGATTTAGAATCCACAACAAAAATCTAAAATATGGTATTGCAAATGAGAAGGAATACACTTGCAAATGATTGAATTTTACTTTTGGCAGTTCCTCTATGCAGGATCAGAAGGTGAATCAATAAACCAAAAGGGCAGTACCAGTAGTACAATTCAAAGGAAATACTACATGATTTAAGCAAGCAAGAATGCTATTGCTAATAGAGGCCCACAATAAACAAGATGATTTTAGCCACTTTCTTCTGACTCTGTCTCAAGTTTAAGAAGTGAGACCAGAGCCCTTTACTTATTTTGGCATTGCCAGTCCTCTCCAATTGCTCCGATTGGGTGGTCTAATGAGATTAATGAGACTGTTGCTTCTATTCACATGCAGAAGCACTTATCCTGAGTAGATCTGTGATGCCACTACTCATGATCCTAATACAGACCTACTCTCCAGAGGGATTCCTGCCATGACTCTAATGAAACCCTTCCAGTCAAACAGAATCATCTTACTGAGTACATGAGCCCCTACAGAATAAAATATTTTGTTAATTGGGCCGATACCTTTCTTGATCCAGTCCTCCACTCCCTGATGTCTTGTGTCCCTGTCTCACATTTTATACTAAGTTTATTTCAAGCAGTAAACTACTTGAGGCAGGAATCATGCTTTCTGCCTGCTTTGTGTTCTAGGCTCATTCCATCTGCATCCAAAGATAGAATTATATTATTGATAATACTCTGCATAATATTCACAGGATAGTATGGCATAAATCAGCATGACTGAATACTGCAGTAAAAAATAGCAGTCATAGGAGAGGCCTAAAATGAGACATATTGCTGATTTACTACAGAGGATAAATCTTATGCATTAGCTTGATATTTACTCCGTACACAAATAGACTAAGTTAACTCAATATTCATTTTTCTTAGCACTTTCCTTTTTTTTCTTTTTCATGAATATAAAAAGTACCCCCAAACACATCCCTTATGCACAATTTTGAAACAAAAGAAACAAATTTACAATATAATGAGTTGGAGCAGTTAAGCAGCACAGATCTATTCAGAGACCCAGAATAACTTTTGAAATGTCTGCTATAGCAAAGCTGCTGGAGAGGCACAACATGACAAGTGAAATGTTCTGATTTTAGAAGGAAAGCTTAAAGGGAGATTTTCAGCAATCCAGCCACCATTTTATGTAGATGTGCTGATCTCAGTCTCACAAAGTGCAGTAACATCATTGGGTGTATGTCCTGAACAGCATCAACAGGCGTAATGAAAACTAAATTAAGAAAACATATGCTAAAAGTCAGCACAGGGCACAATACTGTTGGCCAGCACTAAACTCTTTATTGACTTGCTAATGTCATGGTGTATTTTAGAACGGCCCTTGGCTGATACTGCAGCCCTTGAATCCCTTTTCAGAGGAGAACTGAGAGAAACATGAACAAAGAAATCCGCTTTACGCACCAGCTCTGACGTAGCAGCACTAATAAGAACTGTAATTATGGCACCATGCCAATAGACACTACAATTGCTGCAGCACCAACCTCAATGACTTTCCTCATTCAATCATGGCCTATAAGTTTTCATAAAGCTTTCCATTAATAACTTATACTACTGGCACTCGGCAAGAATGTGCAAACGCAGCAAATTACAAGTTAAAAAAAAAATGGAAGTCTCTTTATAAATGCTGATTCTGATAGTGAACATGAGCATGAAAGCCATAAATAAATAAATTAAATTATAAGTCCTAGTCTTCTTCGCAGTTACATCCATTGATGGGAGGAGGAAGACTGAGGGAAAACCAAATGTGCTGTATCTGTACTTCTTTTCTGAGAAGGTAAAGTCACAGCAATCTCAATTTTCAGGTCCATATCCCAAATATTTATCTGTGAGGCAAGGGTCCCGCAATAGTTTCTTTTCACGATCAATGATTCATCTGTTGGTCTGGACACTTTTCTAGCTTTCTCACACCGTCTGGTACATCAGCATATCCTGTAAGTATCATTTACTTTGGGTCTCCACTATTATCCTTAAAGATGGTGTAACAAGGATATGTCATTTTGTTGACAAGCAATTTAATTTCCTGTTAAATGAAACAGATGCCACCAGAAAGTTGACCTTACAAACTTGAGGTTCTCTTAGATCCAAAAGCATTTTTCAGCACGTGATCATAGATTAACTTTTTAAGAAACTGTCTCCACTATGACAAGCTTCAGAAAAATCTTACTTGGGAACACAAAAAAAAAAAGTACTTCATGTTATTCATATGATAAATTAGGAGAAAAATTTCCATCTGTATTGGTAAATTCTTCCCATAACTTGTTTCAACATAGCAAAATTTATTTAATGCATAACTGCCTGATGATGAACTACCGATAACTACTCCCCAGCTACAGGTTAATAGACATGTTCACAGCTACCCTCCTGTATTTTTGTCTATAACTGGACTCCCATTTTTCTCATTATAGTACCATGCTAAATTGTCTAAAACCTTACAAAGGCGAATATGTGATATCTACTGCTTTCTTCTCTCCACATTATCTGGGTTTTTTTGATAAATTCGTGCTGATTTTTACTCTTGTTCTTGGATTCTTTCAGATCCTTGCAAGTGTCAGATTTTTTCTCCAAACGTTTTCAGAACTTTTAGGTTTAAAACGCCTAGTTTTCCACTATTTTTAAAAAAGTCACCAGATTCCCCCCTCAATTCTTTCTATATATTATTTACTTTCTGTGAGTTCTAGAAGTTATTTCAATTGTTCTGAGATTCTATTCAATAAGGAGGACATTTACTTTGAAAGAAGAAAAATTATACTAATGTCTCAAAAAGTAGCAAATTTAGAGTTATCCATGTGGGAGCCAGCAGAAAATAAGTGTGAGTTGTTGGCAATTTTTTCTTTTCCTGTTTTATTTTTTTTTTTGCTTTTAAACTTTAAGTAATGTCTAGTACTGATATTTTCTTAACAAAATTTCCTACCAAAAACTGCAGTAAAACATGAAGGAAGAAACTAATTGATCAAGAACTGCTATTGAATGTTCCAAGACCTTCCAGAATTCAAAGCAGGAGTATGCATAGACTAACCTACTACTCATTACCTCTCTGGTAATGAGATAAGTTATAGCCTCAGGTCATGCTACAGTGGTAGAAATAAATTATTTGATTTGTTATTATCTTTTTATATTAACCATGAAATAACATGACAGAATAGA